ACACAAGTAAAATCTTACCAAAGATAATTCAAAAATGGTTGCAGCAATATATTGACAGAGAACTTCCAGAAATGCAAGCTGGATTCAGAAGAGGACGTGGAATGAGGGATATCATTGCTGATGTCAGATGGATCTTGGCTTAAAGCAAAGAATACCAGATTGATGTTTACTTGTGTTTTATTGACTATGCAAAAGCATTTGATTCTGTGTATCATAACAAATTTTGCATAATATTGAGAAGAACAGGAATTCCAGAACACTTAAGTGTACTCATAAGGAACCTGTACATAGACCAGGGGCTGTCGTTTGAACAGAAGGGGACACTGCATGGTTTAAAGTTGAGAAGGGAGTGTGTCAGGGTTGTATCCTTTTACCATACTTATTCAATCTATATGCTGAGCAAATAATCCAAGAAGCTGGACTACATGAAGAAGAAAGTAGCATCAGGATTGGAGGAAGAATTATTAACAACTTGAAATATGCTGACGACATAACCTTGCTTGCTGAAAGTGAGGATGACTTGAAGCACTTACTGATGAAGATTGAATAATACAGTCTGCAACATGGATTACATCTCAATATAAAGAAAACAAAAATCTTCACAACTGGACCTATAAGCAGCATCACGACAAATGGTGAAAAGATTGAAGTTGTCAAAGACAACTTGGTTCTACAATTGACACCAATGGAAGCAGCAGTCAGGACATCAGATGACATTATGTTGTTGTTGTTGTTGTTGTTATGTGCCTTTGAGTTGGAACTGACTCATAGTGACTCCTCCTTGACTTTCCAAGGCAATATCACTATGGAAGTAGATTGCCCAACCTTCCTTCCGAAGGTGGAAGGTGGTAGGTTTGAACCACCAGCCTTCTGGTTAGCCTTAGGCACTACCCTACCAGAGCTTCTCAGACAACATATAGCCCCGGGCAAATCAATTGCAAAGGACCTCTTTCAAGTGCTGGAAAGCAAAGATGTCTCTTTGAAGACTAAGGTGTACCTGACATAAGCTATGGTATTTTCAATCACCTCATATGCATGTGAGAGCTGGACAATGAATAAAGAAGACCAAAGAAGAGTTGATGCTTCTGAGTTGTGGTGCTGGTGATGAATGCTGAAAGTACCATGGCCTGCTAAAAGAAGTAACAAATCCATCCTGGAGGAAGTACAGCCAGAATGCTCCTTGGAAGTGAGAATGGCCAGACTTTGTCTCACCTACTTTGGTCATGTTGTAGGAAGGGACCATTCACTGGAGAAGGATGTCATGCTTGGTAAGGCGGAGGGTTGACGAAAGAGTGGAAGGCCCTCAATGAGATGGATCGACCCAGTGGCAGTGGCAATGGGCTCAAGTATAGCAAGGATCGTCGAGTTGGCGCAGGGCTGGGCGGTGTTTTGTTCTGTTGTGCATAGGGTTGCTATGAGTTGGAGACGACTAGATGGCATCTAGGGAGCTCTGGTAGCATAGTGGCTAAGACACTTGCCTGCTAACCAGACGGCTGGTGGTTCAAACCCACCAGCCACTCCTCGGAAGGAAGGTTGGGCAATCCTACTTCCGTAGTGATACTGCCTCGGAAACCCAAGGAGGGGTCACTATGAGTCGGGCCGACTCGAGGGCACATAACAACAACAACAACAGATGGCATCTAACAACAACAAAATGTGTTGTAAATCCTAACCTCTATGCCTGTTGTTATAATCCCATTTGAAAATGGGTAATCTTTGTTATCTATGTTAATGAGATAGGATTAGGGTAGGGTGTGTTTTAAATTAATCTCTTTCTAGCAAGTGAGTAGAGAGATAGGATAAGATAGAGGTCAAGACACAAAAACCAGGAAACAGAAGATACTGAGACAAGGAAGGGCCTTCCTCCAGAGTTGACAGAGGGCAAAACCTTCTCCTAGAAACCGCACTCTGAATTCAGACTTTGAGCCTCCTAAACTGTGAGAAAATAAATTTCTGTTTGTTATAGCCATTCATTTGTGGTATTTCTGTTATAGTAACACTGGACAACTAAGATAGAACTTGGCAGCTGATGGGAGGAGTGCTACTCTAACAGATACCTAAAATGTGGAAGCAGTTTTGGAATTGGGTAATGAGTAGAGGCTGGAGGAGTTTTAAGGTGCTTAATAGTAAAAGCCTTGACTGCTAATCATAAAGCTGGTGGTTCAAACCCACCAGCCACTCCTCACAAGGAAGGTTGTACAATCGACTTCCATAGTGACACCACCTTGGAAACCCAAGGAGGGGTCGCTATGAGTTGGGTCCGACTCGACCGCACATATAACAACAACAACAACAGTAAAAGCCTAGATTGCCTTCAAGAGACTGCTGGTAGAATTACAGACGTCAAAGCAACTCTGGTGAGAACTCTAAAGGAAGAGAAGAGAGTAAAGTCCCTGTTGTCTTAATACATATAGCGCCAGCAACAGAATGTTGCTAGGAACATGGACATTAAATGTGCTTCTGGTGAGGGTTTAAAAGAAAATAATGAACATGTGCTTGAACAATGGAGCAAAGGTGATGTTTTTTATGCAGTGGCAAAGAACTTGTTTGAGTTATATTCAAATGTTTAGTGGAAAGTAGAACTTCATATTCAGATGAATATGAATATCTGGTTGATGAAATTTCTAAGCAAGATCTTAAAGAGGCCATGTGGTTTCTCCTTGCCACTTATAAGAAAACGCAAGAGAAAAGATATAGACTTAAAAATGAACTGCACAAATTAAAAACAGAACTTAAAGATCTGGAAATTTCTGTTGTACAGACTAAGGAAACATGTCCCTATTAGCCTTGTGTGAATGTGGAGGGGGTGAGGGGTATATTCCTGTATTAGATTAAAGGTATGGGCCAATTATAATTACGGAAGCTGTGTGATGGATACATGAGGATTCATTATCCTATTCTTGCTACTTTTGATATTTGAAAATATGAATAAATTTTTAGAAGTCTGAAACACAAAAAAAATGTTAACATTGGCTAAATTTAGATATTGGGACCATGTGCAATTTCCAATCCTCTGAATTCCTTTATTGGGCATGTTTTACATTATGATGTCAACTTTAACCTTTTTAGGAAAAGAAGAGGAAGTATAGGAAAACTCTCCACCTTTCCTTTTCCCTTTGAGGGAAAATGTATACTAATAATTTGTGTTTATATACCACTAAGTTCTTTTCAAAGAAAACTTGCATGTATTATCTCACAATAATCTAATAATAATGGTGTGAGACTTTGTCTAAGAAGACTGAGGTTTCTAGTCTTGCCTAACTTCACTCCTTGTTCTTAGTTGTTGTAGAATCAAGTCACTATATGTGTCACAGTAGAACTAGGTTCCATAGGGTTTTCAAGGCTGTGACCTTTCGGAAGCAGGTTGCCTGGCCTTTCCTCCCAGGGGCCTCCGGATGGGTTCCAACCTCCAACTTTTCAGCTAGTAATTGAGCACTTCACTGTTTGCACCACTGAAGGACTCTCAACTTCATCCTCACCAGACCAAACCAAACGCACTGCCATCAGGCTGATTCCAACTCAGTGACCCCCATTGAGTTTCCAAGGCTGTAAATCTTAATGGAAGCAGACTGCCTCATCTTTCTTCCACAAAGCAACTGGTGGGTTTGAACCACCTACCTTCTGGTTAGCAGCCAAATGCCTTAACCACTACACCACCAGAGCTCCTTCAACTTGATCCTAGATCTAGTTCAGGTACAGACCCAGTTCTCAATAATGTCAGGCTTCACTCAATCCAAGAAAGAAAAAAAAAAGCACCCAGCAAGAGTGGAGGATGTAGTGGTATCACTAGAGGGATGGGGGGAAGTACAGACTATACCTTGTGACACTGTTAGAGGGAGTGATGCCAAAATGGCTGTCTCTAAACCCACCAGCCACTCCTCAGAAGGAAGGTTGGGCAATCTACTTTCGTAGTGACACCACCTTGGAAACCCAAGGAGGGGTCGCTATGAGTAGGGTACGACTCGAAAGCACATGACAACAACAACAAAATTTTTGTGCAGTGTTTCATCAGAAAGTAATTTTTTTTAATCAAAATATCACTTCCTCATAAACCCAGCTTACATGTATCAATATACCTGCATGTTTAAAACTCTATGCTAATTGACTTTTTCAACCTTCTAATGCATTCTAGTCAAAGCTATCATTACTCAATTGCAGTGACACTTTGACTCATGTAGTTTTGTCTGCATGTGCTAGAAGCACAATTGTTTTTGTTGCTGCTGTTGTTTTTACAGGAGCTGGTCCAGGTTTAACTATAATATAGTGGTAAGTAGTATTTGTGGATCTACATCAATAACATTTTTGAGAATGAACTAGTAATTAAAAGAAAAGGAGAAAAATATAAAAAGCCTTCTGTTCAATTATTAATTTTGTAATTCAGTGTAAGAAACATTACTTGTATGCAATTTACAACTATATTTATCCTATTATTCTGTGATTAAAATTGATAGAAATGTTACTAAGGATTCTGTATGGTCTGGTGCAGGAGGAGGTCCATGGGAGGTGTCACACTGGATCGACACCAACCCTAGTGACCACTGGGAGGAGGACAGAATAAGAGAGCTTGTCTAATGAATAAAATACAGCACAGAAATAAGTAACTGTAAGATCCTCTCCTCCTTCTCTCCCCCTCCCCCACGTCTCCTTCAAATACACGAAATTTCCTTCAGAAAGAAAGATGCAGGTGGAATAAGGTAAATTGGCAGTTCAAATTCAGTTCGCAGCGAAGAGCAGGAGTGAACTGGGAGACTTGGGCTGCGCTCCTACTGGCGGCCTGGGCGCACCCGGGCGATTTTGGCGCCAAGGTCCGCTCAGAGCCCAGGCCAACTGCACCGCGACAGCACCCCCCACCCAGATCCACTGACGCCCCACCCCGGAAGGTGCCTTCTTAACCTATAAAGGCCGAGCCAAGGACTATTCCTTCGCCAAACCCACCTGTTGGGAGTTAAGGGCGTCTTGGAAAGTTGAAGTTGGAGCGACTGGAAGAGATAACTGAAGAAAGATGACCGAGTTAAGCAGTACTGACCGTAAACGTTTACTCCAAAGAGTTTGATTTACAGTAGCTTTGTCCACTCACTTTCCACTGGGGACACTAGACTAACTGGACTTTGGGGTCTGGAGGGGTAAGGAGAGAAGACGAAGGAGAGAGAACTTTGGGCTTCCCCAGGTGACAGCCAACCCGGTATCCTGTCTCGAGTCCCCGCACCACAAGGCCAGCGGCCTACTCAGGGGCAGGGGATGCGGCACGGGGGTCACGTCGGCAAATGTTGCTTTTGAAAGAGGAGGGGTGGGGACGCTGAGTCACGGATTTGTCACTGTCTCTCACCTCTCCTCAGCCCTCCGGGGATAAAGCAAAAGCGAAAGCGAATGTTAGTTGCGGGGCCGCTAGTCCGTGGGACCTGCGCTCACACTGCCCTTTCGGGTCCTTCGGCATCTGCACGCGTCAGGCGCACCCAGTGCCTCCAGGGCCCGTGAGTGCGGCGGGCGCCCGGGCGGGTCTCGAGCGCCCGGAGGCGGCAGCTAAGATTGAGCGTGCGGCCGGCGGGGGCGCGGCCGAGCGCCTCAGTCTATGGCCGGGCGGGGGCTCCGGGGTTGCCGGGTCACCGCCCTCTCGACGCTGGCGCTGCTACTGCCGCTGCTGCTGCTGCTGCTCCAGCCGCAGGCGATGCATGGTAGGAGCAGGCGTGAGCCCCCCGCGGGGCTGCGGGAAGGGGCACCGTGCGCCCGAGGTGGTGGTAGATAGCAGGGAGCGCCCCACCTATTCCGGGAACAGAAGGTTGCGCCGCTCAGGCTGGGAGTCCATTCCTAGAGGAAAGAGGTGTGAGGTGGGGAAGGGGAAAAGAGGGGCTCAGAGTCTCGATCTCCGCCCCGCCTGGGGGACCGCGTGGCCACGGCACCCCACATACCTTCAGAAGAGCCGCGGCCGCCGCCGCCGCCAGCGAGGTGCGGGCTGAGCTAGGCTAGGTAGGCTTTCAGCCAAGAAGCGAGGCACAAGTGGAGGGGAAGCGTGGGGAGCCAGTGGGATCGCCGATCTCCCACCCTAACCCTTCCTGCACTTCCCTGGTCACCCCGGAAAGGGAGCGGTGTGGCCAAGCTTTTAGTTCCACGTCCTCCTACTTTCCGAGGCAAGGAGACAAAAGCATTTGTGTTTGCACTGCCTCGGATCAGAACTGTCATTATCTAAATTACCACGACGCTTTGAATCACCTGATATTTAATTGGTGTTTAAGCACTTTCTAGAAATGTGTGAGGGGGGGTTCTAGAGCCCCACCTGGAAAGCACTGAGGCTATTGCCTTCAGGGTCCGGAAGGGTCTGACAAACGCCCGGTGTCTACTCTTAGGCAGAAGTCAGTAATGTGAGTAGACAGTGATAGGACGGAGTAGGAACTCCGACAGGGAGAAAAAAATGTGTCGGGCAACTTGCACACTTCCTCACTGCCAAATCGAGTCTATTTGACTTACAGAGATCCCTCCTTTGGTTTCGGCCGAGGCAGTATCTCTACAGAAGTAGATTGCCCAGTCGTCCTTCCTAAGAGTGGCTGGTGGTTTGAACCGCCAGCCTTCTGGTTAGCAGTCAAATGCCTTAAGGCACTGTACCAGCCAGAGCTCTTAGAGGACTTAAAAGCAACTCCAAATTCTTAAGCCAGTGAGAAATCGTGAGATGGCATGAGAACAATGGGGGGCAGCCTGGAGCTTGTGCTTCCAGAGAAAAGGATAAGAAATGAAGTTGGAAATTGGTTGGTGTATTCCGGAAGAGTGTAGGTTTATTCTCAGCCTTAGGAATCAAATGAATGCCTGGCACTGGCATAGCGAGGGTTGGTGTCACCCAGAGGGATAACTCACCATACAGAATCTGTAGTAATAGTTATTATCAATTTTAATCATAGAATATGTCATAAATATAGTTGTAAATTGCTTAAATGTAATTATTTCTTAGATTATGAGTATTAACAAAATTATTTTATAGAATCTTTCTATATTGAATTACATTATTAGTCTACACTATTAGTAATTGGGAAGCTCTGGTTGCATAGTGGCTAAAGGCAGTTGACTGCTAACCAGAAGGCTGGTGGTTCTAAATCCACCAGCAACTCCTCGGAAGGAAGATGGGGCAATCTACTTCCGTAGTGATACTGCCTCGGAAACCCAAGGAGGGGTCGCTATGAGTCAAGTCCGACTCGACGGCACATAACAACAACAATTAGTAATTGAGCTGTTTTTGATTTTTCTTTCTTTTTGTTTAATTACTACTTCATTTTTTTTTTTTCTGCTATGCATTGGCAGTTTATTTTCAACATTGTTTTAAACACTTAATGGACACCTAATCCCAGAGTTCCAAGGAGGGGTCGCTATGAGTCGGGTCCGACTGGACGGCAAACAACAACAATCACAGAGTTTAAGAGGGGAAGGGAACTCAGAGATAGCACCTCACTTCGCACAGATGGTGTTAGGGGGAAACTGAGGTCCAGAGTGGATTCACTGTTGGGGGTCACAGAACCGCTAATGGCCACGCAAGAACTGCAAGTCCAGACTCCCTGACTCTTCTGTGCAGGGCCAAGAGTTCCAAGAGGGTACGATAAAGCTTGAACTACAAGGCACAGATTAAATGTCAGGAAAAAGGCGTTGGTAGATATTGGAGGCCGGGGCACTAGAGAACCTCAAGACTGCTGACAGAGAGACACAAGACATAACCAGGAGCTGGGTGGCCAGGTACCTTCAGCGGCACCTTTTGCTAATTACTACATTCTTAAAAAATTATTGATACAGGTTCAAAATACTACTTACCACAACATTACACCAGAAAATTTGCCAAAATCAGCAACGACTGGCAGCAATAGAAAACAACAGCTGTGCTCTTAGCACACACAGGCAAAACCAGTCGATTCAAAGCATCATCATTATTAGGTAATGGCAACTCTGACCAGAGGCATTAGAAGGTTCAAAAAGTAAATCACCACAGAGTTTTAGCCTTGTATGTGGTGATATCTCTAAGCTGGGTTTACAAAAAATGTTTTTGATGTTATAACTAACTCTAAGGATATTTTTATAAAAAATAACTTTCTGTTCAAACACTACACAAAAATTTTATAGACAGTTATTTTGGTGTCATCCCCCTCCCCCCCGACAGTGACATCCAGTGTGGTCTGCACCCTACCCCTGCACCCCTAGTAATGCCACTAGTGACTGGTCTGTTTTTTGCTGTGGGAGCTAGAAAGGAGATAAAAAAAGATAAACAGATCTAGCTTTGTCCATGTCAGCTTTTCTACACCTTTTTATGGTCAGAGAGCTTTCATGAGAGCTTAGAAGAGCTCTCCCCCAGAAAAATGCATAAATGCACATACTTATAAAATTTACATATATTTTTAGGTCATGGACCCACAGAAGACCATCCATGGACTCTCAGGAGAGTTAGTAACCCCATGGTCTTTGTGACATCCACAGTTGCTGCTGGCTGGCTTGGTCTGAAGTTTTGCTTTCTTGACACTGTGTTCACATCTGGGAAGCTGAGTTATATTGGTGATTGATAGTTCCTCCCAGCTGGCTAGCCAGTGTCTTGCATGACCCCTGAGGAGATAGCTGCCTGGGGCAACTGTTGCACAATGTGAAAGTGAAATACAATTTTAGTCAGAACCCAGCAAAACTGAAATGTCTGTTTTAAACAGCATGTAAGAACACTTCAGGGACAATCTCTAAAGCTCATTAAACTGCAGCATTTCTCTTTATTGACCTTGCAAAGTCGTTGCTGCCATGGGGCAGTGTGGTAGTTAAGGTTATGTGTCAGCTTGGCTGGGACTGGTTTTGAGTGGCTGGGCAGCTGGATGTAGTTATTCCCTATGATGAGACTGGTAATCCGCTCCATGGTAGAATCTACTGGAGCAGCAGAGTACCTACCTTAGGGATGTGGGCTGCATCCAGTATATAAGAAGACACTTTGAGAAAGGTCTTCAGTTTTGGGGACATTTGGACCCTGATTGTAGCTGAGTCTTCATCTCCGTGGCTTGCCGTGTTGTCTGCCAATCTTGAGACTGTTTCTGGACTTGAACTAGTGGCCTGCCCTGTTGCTTGATAATTTTGGAATTGGGCCATTTTATTTGTTGACCTTGGGTTTGGCAGCCTCAACAGCCAGCAGCTGCTTGAGGTAAGAAAAGCCTCCAGTTTCAGTAGGCCGGGAGCAAGAGGCAGAGCTGAAGCCCAAAGTTGAGGGGCCTTTACCCAGCCCCTAGAGCTGGCACTTTGAACTCAGACTTCTAGCCTCCTAAACTGTAAGAGAATAAATCTCTGTTTGTTAAAGTCACCCACTTGTGGTATTTCCTGAATAGCACCAGAGAACCAAAACAGAATTTGGTACTGAGGGAGTGGGGTGCTTCTCTGATAGATACTTAAAATGTAGAAACAGGAACGGAGTATATCCTTGGGCTCGAGATCCCTGCACAGAGAACGGCAGAGACGTCAGTAGAGACACTAGCAGAGAGACCAGCATGAGACGGACGAAAAGGCTTCTCAGCCAACAGAGGAGAAAGCTGGATACCTTTGGGCAGGCGGCTTCCTGGCAGAATGGGTTGACTTTGGGCACTAATTGGTAGAAACTGGCATAAGACGGAGCCACAGTTTTACTGGTCCATAGAGAGAGAAAGCTGAGTGGTGCTTTTGAGTAAGAAGCTTCCTGTCATAGCAGGTTGCCTTCAGGCATTAATTGGCAGAAGCTGAGAAACCAAGGAAATGGGAAGCAGAGCTGTCTCAGCCTCAAAGGGTAGGACCATGGCTCTGGGAGTGGAACCACCGCAGCCTCCTAGGTTTCAGAATCAGATCTTCACCAATTTGGTTCTGGAGTGTGGGACTGCTGTTCACAGGGGCCAGTGGGTTGGGGCCATAGCCACTGCCCAAAAGTGAAGGGGAAGGGCTGCTATGCCCAAGGGGCAGAGGAACAGGGCCTTCCAGGCCAAGGGGGTGAGGTCACCAATCAGATGGTCTAGGAGATTCGGGTCTCCCAATGAAGGAGATCTATAGAGATGCCACATTGACAAGGGGTAGAATTGTGGTAGTTAAGGTCATGTGTCAATTTGGCTGGCACTGGTTTTGAGTGGCTGGGCAGCTGGCTGTAGTTATTCCCTATGATGAGATGGTAAACAACTCCATGGTGGAATCTACTGTGAGCAGCTGAGTAGCTACCTTAGGGATGTGGTCTGCTTCCAGTATATAAGAAAACACTTTGAGAAAGCTCTTAAGCTTTTTGGCATGCTTGGACCCTCCATGTAGCCCAGTCTTCATATCAGTGGCTTGCCATGTTGTATGCTGACCTCGAGACTGTTTTCTGGACTTGGACTAGTGGCCTACCCTGTTGCTTGATAATTTTGGAACTGGGCCATTTTACTTGTTGACCTTGGGTTTGTCAGCCTTAGCAGCCAGCAGCTGTCTGAGTTAAGAGAAGCCTCCAGCTTCACTGGGCCAGAAGCAAGAGGCAGAACTGAAGCCCAAGGTCAAGGGGTCTTCACCCCTAGAGCTGGTACTTTGAACTCAGACTTCTAGCCTCCTAAACTGTAAGAGAATAAATTCCTGTTTGTAAAAGCCATACATTTGTGGTGTTTTCTGTTAGAGTAGCACTAGAAAACCAAAACAGGTAGCTACTGATTTAAAAAAAAAAAAAGCAGTTTTATTGAGGTAAAGGAGCCCTGATAGCATGGTGGTTAAGCACATGGCTGCTAACTGAAAGAGTGTCAGTTCAAACTCACCAGCTGCTCCACTACAGAAAGATGTGGCAGTTTGCTTCCATATAGATTTAAGATACAGCCTTGGAAACCCTATGAGGAAGTTCTACTCTGTCCTATAAGGTCACTATGAGTCAGATTCGAAAGGATGGCAATGAGTTTTGGGTTATTGAGGTATAACTGACAGACAATAAACTGTACACATTTACATTGTACAGTTTGGTAAGTTTAGAGGTAAATGTATACAC